CTTCCATTTCACCAACACATCATTTTTCACCTAATATTAAGCATAAACGTTTCTTAATCAATACATTAATGCTAAATAATACTCAATGTCAATTTCATTTTACATACCGAACCGATGTGTTTGCCAGCTTCCTTCATCCTTTGGCATTCGGTCATACTGTCAACATTTAAAATTTGTAGTCAATTTAAAGTTCTTAAATACTTTAATCCAATTACCATAACAAAAAGACATTGATACTTACTAGAAGTACATATATCTACCCTTTGGTTGCTTTCGACTATCGGCCTCAATTTTAAAGTCATCTTCGCCACCAACAATGGCAAGATCCTTTGACTTCATTTTTCCTTCATATATTAGTTTACGCAAATCAAAATCAAATACTGGTTACATACACTTTATTCAATATACAAATATCGATAACTACTCTTGTAGTAAAATGGTTTTCTTCAAAAGAATTTGAATGGCCACTACAACAAGTGTTGGCACATTTATACAACCTACAATATCATTTTCTACCTATAATATTATATACATGTATCCATATTTATTTTATACCTATAATATTATATAATCGGTCTCAAATTCTTCTTGGCTTCGATTCAAAATCCCTAAACCAAACCCTAAAATCCTAATCCCTATTTTCTTCAAACGAATGAGAACACTCAATACTTCAAGTATCGGCATATTTATACAACCTATAATATCATTTTCTACCTATAATATTTAATAAAAGTGGATATTTATATTTTACCTAGAATATCACTTTTTTACCTCTAATCGGTCTCAAATGCTTCTTTACTTTGAAAACCCCAAACAACACATAAAAACCCTATTTCTGATTACTGTAATAATAAAAAACTAAGGTTTCGACAACATACTTTTTGATTTGATTGCAGCAACAAACAAACAAACTTCGCTTTATAAACGCCTTCTGAAATGCAACAACAATTACGCTTCGATTCCAAAAACTTGTCTGTGTTTTATCTATTTTCAGAGGAAATTTAACTATGACCTTTATATTTTCACCGGATATGTTATTTATATTTAATCGATACAATTACCCAAGTGTCGATACTTTTATGTCAGGTGTCGATACTTTCGATAGGATATTTACCTATTTCTTTAAAAGTATCGATAATTTATTATGCTTACTTATTAAAGTATCGACACTTTCAACATATCCGGTAGCGCTTAACCGGTTTTGTCATATTTTTACCTGTTATATTGTTATGGATCGATACATTTTTATAAAGTATCGACACTTTATAGGTGGTATTAATGCTTCTCTTTTTAATTCCAAAGGTGTCGATACTTATATTAAAGTATCGACACTTTCAACATATTCGGTAGCGTTTTACCCGCTTTGTCATTTCGAGATCGGTTTTGTCATATTTTTACATGTTATATTGTTATGGATCGATACATTTTTATAAAATATCGACACTTTATATGCGCTATAATTGCTTCTCTTTTAAATTCCAAAACTGTCCATACTTATATTAAAGTATCGACATGTTCAACATATCCGGTAGCTCTTTACCGGTTTTGTCATTTCAAGACCGGTTTTGTCATATTTTTACCTATTATATTATTATGGATCGATACATTTTTATAAACTATCGACACTTTATAAACGCTATTACTGATTCTCTTTTAAATTCCAAACGTGTCGATACTTATATTAAAATATCGACACTTTCAATATATCCGATAGCACTTTACCGGTTTTGTCATTTCGATACCGATTTTGTCATATTTTTGCCTGTTATATTGTTATGGATCGATACATTTTTTTAAAGTATCGACACTTTATAGGCGCTATTACTGCTTCTCTTTTAAATTCCAAAAGTGTTTATACTTATTTCAATCTAATCGATACTTTCAACATATCTGGTACCACTTTACCGGTTCTTTCATAATGAAACCGGTTTTATCATATTTTAACCTGTTATATTGCTATGGATCGATACATTTTTTATTTGTATCGACACAAACCGACAAGCTAAGTTTGTCGGTTGCCAAATTTTTTAATATTTCTTCATGATTTACACCTACAACATTATTATTACTCAACATTTCCGGTAGCGCTAAACCAAATTTATTAAATATCTTTTAATATATCCGGTAACGCCGTATATTAGCCCGCCTTTCCTGAGATAACCCCGTGAATATGTTGTTTTCATTGTTGATCGAATTATGGATTTTGTCACTCTATAATGTTGAAATTTAAAATTAAATCTTTATGTTTTAATTCGACAAAATTCACCCCATCTGTTATTATTATTATTATTATTATTATTATTATTATTATTATTATTATTATTATTATTATTATATTGTTGTCTAAATTTATAACACCAATTCACGTCGTTATCAATTCATTTATTTATTTTTTGAAGAAGAATTTCATTAGATTCCAATAGCATCATGGATCACATTAGATTTAATACAATCGGATTTATCATAGTAAAATCAAAACGGATTGGGTCTCGACAAAGCCTATTGGGCCAGAGAGTGGGCAACTCGGTTGGTTTCACGGTTGACGTAAAAAACCTTGAGGTCTCGATTATTGGCAAGAATCTTACGAGCTTTGTTTAGCAACAATCCGGTAGTTGAAACGTTGTCCCTTTGATTTGTGAGTCTATTTACAATGGAGATAGCATCACCTTCGGTAGTCGCGCTCTTCCATCCATTCTCGATTGCAAACTTTAGACCTTGGGTGAAGGCTGCAACCTCCGAGGATTTTGCCATGAATGGGGTCAATTTGACAGTACATGTCACCCACAACCATCCCATTACAGTCTTTTGCCATAATACCAAATAATGTTGTGGCTTTGGTGGTGCAAAAAGCTCCATCCACATTAATCTTAATAGAATTTGGCTTCGGGCTGATCCATTTAGCCAAACTTCTCGAAATCGGGAAGGAAGGGGTGTTGCTCCAACTAGAGTCAGCTTCGGAGAATTCAGCACAGAGGTCCCATGCCGTAACAACCACATCCCGATTCTCTTGCATCTCCTCGTCATGAACCCACTTGTTCCTTCTATATTCCAAATGTTCCAAAGTAGTACTAGTAGTCTAGTGAGGTCGTCTAGGTCCAGTTGGGATGTGGACCATTCCAACTAATCTTAGCAAGAAATCCCTTGCCAATCAATGATCATGGATTTAAGACTTGAAATCTACAATTGGACTGTGCCTTTGGACATTCTTTAAGAGAGTGGATCGTTGATTCCAGGGCTCTTTCGCACAAGGGACATTTTTAATCCGAAAGATGAACGTTCTTGAGTTTTTCGTCCGTGGGGATAGCCTCATGACACATTCTCCGACCAAATAACTTTATTTTGGGTAAGGTTGGTAACTTGGTGAGAATTTTTTAAATTTTGTCTTGATCTCTCAGAAACCCTTTACGAAGAAGTAGCCAGTTGTATCCTGATTTTGCAGAATAGCAACCGTGTTGAGGTGACTCTAAATCAAAAGATCTTCTTGAGTAGGAGAGATAAAAACACCTAGAACTATGTTCGCATCTGCCAACGTAAGAATTGTTTAATCTTCGCTTTATCCCATCCGGGAGCATTTGGAAGCACAAAGTCAACACACTTGAGTGGGGAGACAACATTGTCTATGTATGAGCTCTCCAAATGATAGGGGAGGCATCTCTCCAAGAATATTTTAGCCTCGTTGTCAAACCCGACTCTCCAAAAGAAGCCCTCTCTCAACGTTGTTATCAATTTAGACCTAAGTAGAATGATATAATCGTAAAATTTAACATAATGAAGGGAATAAAATAATAAATAAACTCGAGTAAAATTATTTATTAATATATAAAAAATGAAAGAATTACCCAATAAATTTATATGAAGAGAAGTAGTTTTAGCAATAGGCCGAAGAAAGAACTGGTACATTAAAAATGGACTCGTTTTGAAAGGTCCAATTTGATATTGGGTGATATAATCTCAAGTGTGCATTTCTCAAAAGCCTAAAACGATTTGAGGGTTGACGGTCCTCAAGATCACTGCTGAACCCCACAAATCTTCACGAGAATGTATTTTTTTGGTTAATAAAATTTTGCATATCGTTTTGATTTCCACTTGGCTTCTTAATGTCATTTTTGCATGCTTTAACAATGACGAACTATTTATTTAATCATAACAACAAAACATGAATTATCGGTTGAGAGTTTTCTTTCTTTCTTTTACGTCCTTCATCTCTTTATTTCATACAAAATTAACGATTATCATTCATTTTTAAAAATAATTATTGTTTGAAAATTTAAAAAAAAACTACAGCTCTCATCAGTACAATTAACTACTAACAATTTGATCAAATCATTTGTTGAATATATATAGAAGTCATGACGGTCCAAGACTCTTCTTTTCGATGTATTCAACAACATAGGATCGAGTCAATCATTCAAGTGCAAATTGATGCACAAAAAATTTTCATTGAGGGCAACAACATTTTGCTTTGCTGGTAGTTGCATGGAATAATATGTTCAAAATTCCACGTGATACCATCAACAAACATAAACAAACTCTACATTACCAAATTGTTTAATATAATTGATTTTGGGATGTGTTCAAAGATTTTTATGGCTCAATACAACATTATAGGGTTTTATATCCTCTGTTTGTTTGTTTCTTAATGGAGCAACTTGTACTAATATTGCGTAAGTCATTATCTAAGCTGAAGACCATTCACGTGTACAATCTATTGGATTGTGACATTTTAGATTTTCATGAGGAAAGAAGGGTGTTAAAAGCAATTTCTATTGAATCGAGTGAATCAAAATTTGATCATTAAAATTTTGAGTTCGAATTTTATAGATGAAGAAAATACCTATACGTGATTAAATAGAAATAAAAATTGAAAATCCCCTTAGAACCCTTTATGGGACCCAACAATATTTTCAAGTTGGATGACAGTAAATTGCCATACGTGTCTGTCAACTACAAACCCCCCTTCCCTTCACAGAATCACTCTCATTGAAGCATTTCCACAAACAATTTTTTTTTTCAAAACAAACTTTTCTTTATCTACTGACATGGCCAGACCACAACAACGATATCGAGGTGTTCGACAAAGGCATTGGGGTTCTTGGGTGTCTGAAATTCGACATCCCCTCTTGTAAGTTGGACTCTGTTTCAAAAACCACGAACCTTTCGTACTTGTAGTTTCCTTTATGAGTACTAAAGGGAGCGGGTGTGTGCAGGAAAACTAGAATTTGGCTCGGGACATTCGAGACGGCGGAAGACGCGGCTCGGGCCTACAACGAGGCAGCTAGGCTTATGTGTGGACTGAGGGCTAGAACCAACTTCCCTTACAACCCCAATGAACCTCAACCATCATCATCATCCAAGCTTCTCTCTGCAACTTTGAGAGCTAAACTACACAAATGTTACCTGGCTTCACTTCAAATGATCAAACAACAAACGGTGCAGCAGCCGCGAAATAATGCACCGACTCCACAAATTATCGGCAACAATGGCATTGCAGGGAGAGAGAGTGGGATGGGAGTTGGAGTGCAGGGAAAGAGACCATTACCAGAGGCAGAAGCCACTTGGGTTGTTAAGAAACCTCAAGTTGAAACCACCCAGCAATTCAACTTCAAACCACTTGAAGAGGATCACATTCAACAAATGATTGAGGAACTACTTCACTATGGCTCCATTGAACTTTGCAATGTCTAGTCCATTGAACTCTGTTACCAAATGTTAAAGCGAATACGGGATTACTTCCAGGTTAATGGCACTCATTGCCTAATTTAACCTACCTTTTCTTCTTGGTATGAGATTCTGCAGTGACTACATGTAATAATTTAGGCCTCAACTGCATTCAAACAACAGAATCAGACCCCTAAATATAAGTAATAATCTTTTAATTTTATTTGTCATTCACAATATTTAAACTCTATTCTTATTAAAAAGACATTGAATTTCTTTACCGATTACTATAAACATTACCCATTTTCCTTTCATTTTACTTTAAATTCCTTTAACAGAATGACCTATGCTTTTAAGTGTTTACATGTTTGCAGGCCTTCTTGCTTCTTTAGATAGATAAAAATATTGTACTTGATTTTTCTCCATGCAAACTGTGAAAAGATTAAATTATTATCTTTGTTCGATTTAATTTATAGTATTAGATACCAATTCAATAAGAAATTATTAAAAACTATAATTTAAATAATTACTATTATTATAGGAACGTTTCTGTCTTTTTATATATATATATATTTATATAATTTTTATAAATAAACACATCTAGTGATCTTAATGGTTAAAAGGAGTGTTGTTTATCTTAAAACCAGGGTTTAGACAAATACCTTTTCCCAGTTACCCCTAGTTAAATGGTAAAATTATGCCTTTAGTCCCTCTCAAGTTTAAATTATGCAGTTAAACCCTTTTAGCTCGGGAAAAATTTCAATTTTGAATTCTATAAAATACCAATGATTTAATTTCAAGTCTTTTTAACGCGAAAGTTAAGTTTTGACCCCCAAAATTTATAATTATATCTCAGCCCACAATATAACTTCCAGGCTTTGGCCAGAGAAAATTTAGTGTAATTAACCTCAGTGATATCTTAGAGACTCTAAATTCAATTTCTTTGCAACACGTAACATTAGAGTTTCATAAGTTAACTTTTTTAATGACAGTTTTAGTTGAAGATTCATGGGTAAATGCACATATTATAAAACACCATGAACATTCTCCCATGACCCTCCAAAACACAAATCTATCCAAACATGATCAACATTAGATGATTTCATTCTAAAAATTATAAATTAATTTACTAAACAAACGAGCTATAAACTAGATATTATCACTAACTTAGAGAAAAACATACCTTTATTAAGTTGATAGTTGATAATTTGGGAGAGAAATCATTGAAAATTTATATAAAAATAAAATTATGTAAAAAAAATAGAGATAGGGAAGGATGTCGTTGGATATAGGAACGGAGAGAGTGATAGATGGAGATGGAATGAGTTGCGATTTAGGGATTTAGGCTATGAGTTGTTGCTGCTGCGTTGTTATATACCCAAAACATTTGTGTTGCGAAATTAAATTCGCGTTGCGAATTTGAAATTCAGTTGTGAATTTGACTTTCGCGTTGCGAATTTGGAAAATCGTAACGCGAAATTGGAAACTGAGTTGCGAAATTGGAATTCGTGTTGCGAATTTGAGATATCGTTGCGAATTTGTTGGTCATTTTGGCAAATCCAAAAAAAGTTAGTTAAATTCGTATATTATAAGGCATTTTTGGTCGTTATTTTATCAAAATAAAAAATAATTTAACCCTACTATAATAAATTCTTAGTTCCTCTCCTGAGTGACAATAAAAAATAACTAAGTGGTTCAAGGTTATTATTTAGTTTAACGACCAATACCTGGCTTTTATCTATACTCTATGTGGATGATAGGATAGTTATCGATTGATGTTCTCGTTAACTATTATGAAAGGTGATGTAAGGGGTTTTCAAAGCAGAACTCTTTGAGGTTGGTCAATATTTCGAAAGAGATATCTCCTTATCCAAAGTAGAATTTTTTAAGGTAGGTCAATATATGTATTCGTCTTCAAAAATATATTTAGATTCGTTATTGGTTTATCAATACCTATATAAAGATGTTGTAATGGTGCAGGAGAATAATGTAAGATATTTTGGGATAATTTTGACACAGTTTTTTGTGTTTAGTGTCGTTCTTTAAAGACAGATGGCTTATTGAAGAAAACAAATAAATCATTATTGACTTTCTATGCTTGTATTTGGAGGGTCCATTGAGAAATTTTCACGTTAGACTCGATGTTTATCCATATGTTATACATGCAAGAGATAAAATGTTAATAAAAAGAATGATGTTGGACCTTATAAAACTAACGATTGTGTGCTGTCATGCGAGGTAGATCCTTCACGTGGAATTAAGCGAGCTTCTTCTTATTATATATAACAAGCAGCAGCATCAATACAATAATATTGAAACCTCACTCAAGTAATATCTGCTATCCCATTATTTGTAACCTTAATTTACCTAAGTGAACCAGAAGTTTTTCCCCCGGTCGCACGATTATCGATTTATACAAAGGTTTTTCGAAGTATGAAAAATAAAGTTACCACACTGACTCTTATTGCAGGTTTCGTTCTATTCCATTTCCATCATCATTGCTATTGATTTGCAAGCAGTATCAGCTGTCAGGGCCAGCAGTGAAACACTGCACACACATGGTAGAAAGTAAAATTTCCAAAGGTTTAGATACTCGTGCTAGTAAGTTATGTTTTGGTCCCCTTATAAATCACTTCATGTGGGCTGTTGAAGCTCCATAGTTCAGACAAATATTTAGCTAATTAGTGAAAAGAGCCAGTTACTGGGCTGGGTATCTTAACAAATTATTAGGGCTCTTAGTGTTACTCGTGGATTCTCTCTTCAAAGCTTTAAACCCAACTCTTAAGAAACCCCAATTAATTAAGGTGGTGTGTTGGCTCGATTTTAATAAGTGAGAAATGCCAAGGCATATGTGTAGTTGTGTTGTTGGTGGCAACGTTAAGACGTTGGAGAATATTTTGGTAAGCAATTTAATTATAACAGCTGGTCTTACCCACCAAATCTATTTTTCTTCTTCTAGTGTTTAGATATCCATCATTGTTTAAGCATATCATATTGATAATATGAATATATTATCTTCTTTAGATGTTGCTGGGTTGAAGAGTGACATACACTCGATGTTTTGTTGACTTTCGACTTTGAAGATAGTTAAATTTTACCGCTTGAAATCGTAATATCTCAAAGTCACATTCTAATATTATTTTGTAATTTTAGTTCTATCTTATTATTATTTTCCGTCGTTAACGATAATAACATCTATTATATTCGTAATTTCTCGATTGAAATTCTGGAGGGATGTGTATTGCATTTGGCTAACTTTTGGCAAAGATCATGGAGTGTAATTGAATTCGAAAATTTGATATTATGAACCCAATTTGTTTTATTTAAAACATCAAGATTCAAACCCATAATATTTTTTAAAAGTCATAACATCTCTTTCCATTAGACCAACTATCAGTTGATTAGATGATGTTTTTTTTAACAATTACTTATAAACAATTACAAAAATAGAGCTACAAGGGATTAAATTGTGTCAAATTAAAGTAGAGATTAGATTCTAAATTTTAGCATAGTAGAAGGGCCAAAACTAGAATTAGAACATTAGAGATAACAATAACAAATTAAGAAAGACCGCGGACTTGATTTTTCAAAGTAATTAACCAAGCAACTTGGCTTTGCATTTTTCAATCATGTAATGTGATCATCAAGCCAAATATGAAATAGCCAACTAAAAGAAGTTTCCTTAAAGTTCCTTAAGAAAATACCATTCTCTCTATAAATAAACACTTTTACCCATAATTTTAATAACAAAAAATATCAAGAATTGTCTTATTATATTGTAATAATTAACATCATTGACCAGAGAACATTGAGAAGTCCTTGGCTTGCAAGAATTGAATAGTCAGTTGCAAAAACAAGTGTATTGGACAGTTGAAGTTAATAAAAACGAAGGGTGGATTTGGACATCCTCAATCAATTTGTATGACTTAGTCCTAACAGTGAAAGATTTGTTATGTTCACTCTCCGAAACACTTTGGGTAGGTTTACGTTTGAATTACAACCACTTGGAATTTGCTTTTGAGTTCATCATAGGACTTTTCAAGTTGTTTTGCTTTGGTCACCTCATTTTGCTTGCTAATTATGGTTGTTTGTGGCTAATAGTTTTTAAATTTGATTAAGCTGAATTGATTATATGTTGACCAACAATGCAATTTGCAAATAATAAGTAAATGTATGGTAATTCCAGGAGGGATTATATGATGATTTTATTATTTTTTGAAGGCCGACGAACTAATCACTTGACGGATCAAGCACACCAGGATGGTCAGACAGACACAGCCTATGACCATGGTTCGACCAATCTTCCGAAGCAGCCTATGTATCCAAGGACGCAATTCAATATTAAATTACGAGAAATTAAGTTAATTTGTTAGCCTTCACCTTTTTCTTTGATTTTGCACGTGGTAAACAGACCAAATTGCTCATGGGAAATTGAATGTTCATGACACAGTAACGGTGGCCTTAATTTTCAGAGATTTTCACACCTACGTGCCTTTAAATTGAACGAGTCTTCCTTCCCAGCAGAAACCCGGTTTCAAACAAGCTCATCCATGTATACATCACCAACTCTTCATTGTGCTTGTTTTTACCAACTCTTCATTGTTTGTTTTTGTCACGTGATGAGTACTTCCTATGATACATTAAAAACGTGCTTCTAATAAAAGTAGGCATGCCTATGTTCATCCCCCATGTATAAGTATACAATCTTACTTTTAAAGGCCATTTTTTTAAAGGTAAATGGACTAGCAAGTGTCATAATTGTCAAATAAATAAACATAATCCTCAATTTAAATAAATAATATAGAAAAATAAGGTCGATCCACATGGACTAATGAATTTCTAATTAAATCTGATTTGATCTCTAACAAAAAAAAGCTGCAAAATAAAATAAAAGGGGGTTTATCAAATTTAGTTGAATAAACTAAAATTAAATAAAAATAACAAAGCAATAAAAATAAATAATTGAAAGAGATAATGATAGGAGATAGCCTCTAGCTTCCCTTTGACTCAACTCGTCTCGATCCTTGAAA